AACAAAAAGAAACAACAGTACTTTCATAAACAATGTGATTTTCAAAAAATCGTGAACCTTGCGTGTTTAGAGTGCTCGGGCTTTTACAATGTCTAGGATCATTTCACTAAAATCGATTGCCTGTAGGCTGCAACTCCCAATTGCTATTTTACCCCTTAATCGAAAAATTGTTGTTTTACTTCCTTTATCACCAACTAACTTATAGTATGTTTGGGTTGAAGGGGTTAGAGGGGAGAGGAGGAGAGAAGAAAGTTTTTTAATTAATCAAATTATAACGTTTTAAATCATATTTTTTTCATTTCTAATATTGATGAAAAATACTTAATGCCTTCTAAATTATTAATATCTCATTAATCACATGATGATTTCTTTTTTTAGTGCATAAGATGGTTGATTATATGAGAGCAGATAGCACTTCATTTTTTTCAAGTGCCCTACTTAATTCAAAATTTAAATTTAAAATTTAAAATTATTAATCAACTGAGACATAAAAATAAGGATTAGTTGGTGACACTTAGGGGCATAATTAGTTCATTCCTTTTTTTTTTTTTGGCAAACTGACAATTTTTTTTAGTCTAAAATTAAAATCTCTTTTTCTAAATGATATTTTATGGTCTATTTAGTATCCCTATAGAAAATTTTTATTTTGAAAACTAAAACCAACAGTTTTGGTAAATTGCAAAAACTAAATGAATAATTTTCAAATAAAAGAATGCACTTTTACAGATTTATACTCTTTTTAAAACTTGATGGAGGGGTAGTTCTTAATATCAAAGGCCTACTCCTCTATCAATAGTTATAAGAAGACTGTTCTTAACTCCACTTGTTAAGATCCATCAATGGTTAGGATGGGTTGCTTGTAACTCCACTTGAATCCCATCCAACTCCTCCTTAAATCTGTCTTTGGAGCTCGCATATAACATCTTGTTCTTCATTGTAGTCACAAGATTTATAAAATTTATATTGATTTGTAAAATAATAAATATAAATTACAACGAATTTGAAAAAATAGGAAATAATCTCTAGCTTGGGAGTGTTACAATGTACACGCTCGAATTTTAAATGATGGCACATTCTGAAATAGCATGATCCTTTGATTGACAATTGAATTTAGAAGGGCAAGGGACTTAGCTTAATCTAGTTATTAAGGCATTTGAAACTTGTCTTCGAAAATTTTCCTCCTTGGTAGAGAGTTGAAACCTTCATTAGTTGGAACTTGGAACTTTGAGAATTGTTGAAAGACTTTAATAAGCTTGCTATTCCTCTTCTTTTCTCCTTCTTCTCTTTCCCCCCTTTTTCATCAAATGAATGGCTTATTTATAGCCAAAGAAAGCTTGTCAAAGTGACCTCAAATACCCTTCACTTTAAGGATAATTTAATCATTTTATAACTAAATTTAATTTAATTAAAGATAAAATCTCTTTTTAAAGATTTAACGACCCAACTTCCAAGATTTTATGATGGTAAAAATATTTTAGTTTAAAAAATTATTTAACATCCTCACTCACCTTTGATTGATATATAAGACACCCTCCGACATACATTATAATTAAATTTTGGTATGTCTCTTAATTTATGTATTTATAACTATATATTGGTGAAAATTAATCGATTAATAATTACTAGGCAATGGAAAAGATTTTGCTTTTTTGGCAATTCTCATTCGCGCCCAAATTTGTTGAGAGGGAAAATTCAATATCAAAGATATAACAAAAAAATATGAGTTAAATACAAAAAAAATCACTTCACTTTTTTTTAATTGATTTTAAATTATATGCAAGTTTTGCATTGAAACCTACGTGTTAATTTTTAAAAAATCAAAATCATAGGCTGCATAAATAAAGACATTCCTTCTCAGGGAGAGAAGTGAAATCTTCGTACAGGATTCCTAAGGTTGTCCCAGCTTGTCTAACAGCCCCTGTTGGTCTTGAATCTTGAAGCCAATGAATAGGTAGTTGCTCTTCGCCTTTAGCTGCAAAACTTGAGAGTTTACAGTTTTCATGGGCTTAATTCAATAATGGGGAAATTGTAGTTTGAGATAAGTGCACATAAAAACTTGGGGTTTTAAAATGTGTATATAACATACTTGTGATTCTATGCATGCGCAAATAAAAACCCAAGATATCAAAATGTGCACATAAACACGTAAGGTCTGCACTTGGTGCAAATAATCACTTGAAATTTCTTTAAAACCCCTAACTTACAAGAATGAAAAGAAAAGAAAGATAAGTGTATTTAAGCCAATTTCATGTAACTTTAAGTGGTTATGTACACCGAATACATACCTTAAATCCTTATTTGTAAATCTTGAAATCTCAGGTTTTTATATGCACCCATCTTAAATCATAAGTATATTATATGCATATTTTAAAATCTCGAGTCTTCCTCTCTGCACCAACCTTAAACCACAACTAAATTATAATTTCCCCTTCAATAATTGAATAAGCCTCATGACTTCTCCATTAAGAATGCACATATAAGCAACGAGGTTTAAGCACTCATTTTTTACATAAAAACATTAAAAACTCCATAAACAAAATTTTGAGGAAGTCCAAAATTTACAACCAGTTTTGGTTTTGGGTTCAAGTGGAAGGT